CGAAATTGTCTGCAATATGACACGGAAACGCTTAATCGAGTCCTCATCAACCCCTGTAATAGCAGCATAAATGCTTGAGTTTTCGAAAAATTTTCGAGCGGTATTCTCATCATTCGAGCTACCGAAACCAGGCTTTGGTTGATCGACTATTAGACCCAATTCTATAAGGAAACCCTTCTGTATATTCGATTTTCAGAATTATATTTCTTTATTTTCTTTATCACTATGCGCTTGCCACAGTTTGATTTCAAGCTTATATGCTACATACAAACAATATTCAAAACACACAGACAAATTCAAGAAAAAGAGCAAAACATTCCGCGTCATTTGTACAAAATTCAGAAAACTATGTTTTGGCACCAATGACACAGTTGCAGCTAGTTGCAGCTAGTTTTAATTTTTTCATTCAATAATAGTTCCATCTACAACATGCGATCGGTCCAGTCGCAGAACTCTACAGAATTTATGAACTTTTCTCTACATGTTTAAAATTTTCTGTTGTAATCTTCCGTTCATTTTCGTACAAATCATTCGTTTACTGTTATCACATAAAGTATTATTATCAATTTTGTGTCACATAATGATATTCTACTTACTTACAGCTGCAAATTCCATTTTTTAAATTTAAATTCGATTGATTTTTAGAGATTTGGCACCCTCTTGAATATAGCGTAGAAATCTTTGCTTACTGCATGACGCGTCTAGCGCGATTGAGGGTCCCCTTTCAACTAAACTACAATAGCAAGTATAAGGGATAGGGGGTGCTAAAGTCTAGAATTCGACCTTCGGACTCTTATCCAACCGAACCCACGACTAGAAATTACCGGAACTTAAACTCTATTTTTCGACTTTTGGCCAGCTTTTTGGGATTTGGTCCCACTGTGCAACGATAGGAATATTGTCGAGTTTTCTTGTGCATTCTTGACAATGTTAGGACCCCCTCAATCGTGGGGCCCCGGTGCACAGCATCCGCCGCACTCCCCGATGGCCGGCCCTGCGTATCTAAGTGTATGTCTACATCCACGACTGGCGGAATTGAAAATCTGAATCCTCAGAATGACCCAGGTTTGTGGCCATTAACAATTACTGATGTAGACCGAACTGAGATTGTATTAAAAGGTCCAATCCGGGTTAAAGATTTTTTTCCCGTAAATGATAACGGACGACGATTCAGCGAATATCATTACAGTAAAATATTAGCTAATGGTGAAAAACTTGACAGGCGCTGGATGATTTATTCACAAACGAAGGATGCCGTTTACTGCTTTCCGTGTCGACTGTTCGGACTAGAAAATACAAGAATTGGATCCAGTGAAGGAGTGTGTGATTGGAAACACTTGGGTGATTATTTAAAGTCTCATGAATCTAGCCGACTGCACAAAGATTGTATGTTGAAATGGTTAAATTTAGAAAACGGATTAAAAAGCTGTACCACTATTGACTCTTTAGCCCAGAATCAAATTGAACAAGAAAGGCAGCGTTGGAGAGATATTTTAGAAAGACTACTTGCAATTGTAAATTTTTTAGCATCTCACAATTTGGCCTTCAGAGGTCATAGAGAGAAAATAATATCTGACTCAGATTCAAGTGAGACTAGCGGCAACTTTATAGATTTAGTAAAGTTAATAGCCCGATTCGATCCAATGTTGCGACTTCACCTAAAACAAGTAACAGACAAGACGACTAATGACCACTATCTCGGAAAAAATATTCAAAATGAGCTTATACAATTAATGGCAAGTCACGTGAAGGCTCAAATTGTTGACAAAATAATAAAGAATAAATATTACTCGATTATTCTTGATTGTACTCGTGACGTTTCTCGTGTTGAGCAACTGTCAATTATTATAAGATTTTTTAATACAAATACAGCTGACATTGAAGAACATTTTATTGGCTTCTTAGCCGTCGAAAAAACCACAGCTGAGAGTTTGACTAATTACATAATCACAGAGCTAGAACAGTTGGGTATATCATTGCAAAACTGCAGAGGCCAAGGATATGATAATGGAGCCAATATGCGTGGAGAAAAAAGTGGTGTCCAGAAACGTATACTTGAAATTAATCCACTTGCTTATTTTTTTACCTTGTGGGAGTCACAGCTGGAATCTCATCCTAGGAGATGCAGCATCCTCTTGTGTTCAAGCAAAATCTTTTTTTGGTTTGCTACAAAGGCTGTACACTCTGTTTGCCGGCTCGAGTCAGAGGTGGGCTATTTTAAAAGCACATGTAAAATCCTTATCGCTAAAACCACTTTCCGAAAGTAGATGGGAATGCAGAGTAGAATCGGTGAAGGCCGTTAAATACCAACTAAGCGATATATGTGATGCTTTGAAGGATTTAACAGAAAATACAACAGATTGTCAGTTGGTTAGTGAATGCCATTCTGTAGAAAAGGAAATAACTACCTACGAATTTGCTCTCGTCGTATGGTATGACATTCTTACAAAGATAAATGTTATAAGTAAAATCTGGCAGAGCGAAAAAATGCACCTAGATGCGGCTATACAACACCTAGAGGCATTTACACATTGGCTTGATAATTATCGGGAAAATGGTTTCCAATCATCCTTGGTAACAGCGAGAGAAATAGCCGAGGAAAATGATATTGATAGAAAGTTCAAAGTCGTGAGAAGGAGACGTAAAAGAACGAATTTTGATTATGACCGGAAAGATGAAGCTCTTGAATTGTCTGCGGAAGAGATTTTCAAAATAAACTATTTTTATGTCATTGTCGACAATGTGCACGCAAGCTTCCAACCTAGATTTGAGGCACTTAAACATCATGAAAGCATATTTGGTTTCATGTATAACATAAAAAGATTAAAGGAAATTAGTGATTGTGAACTTTTGAAGCAATGCAGCGACTTGCAAATATCTCCAACAGTAGCAGAAACATCTGATATTGATGGACGTGAATTCTATGAAGAACTGAATATGTTTATCCGTGTTATGAAGGAAACGACGACATTATCTCGGTGCTGAAATATATAATAGAAAAAAATTTAACTGAAGTGTACCCCACAATGGAAGTAGTCCTGAGAATTATTGCCACCACATCTGTGACAGTTGCGTCTGCAGAAAGGAGTTTTTCGAGGTTAAAAATTATTAAAACATATTTGAGGAATTCGATGACACAAGACCGGGTTTCGGCCCTTGCTATTCTTTCAATTGAAAATGACGTAGCTCATTCGTTAGATTATTCTGCTTTAATTAAAGATTTTAGTCTTAGGAAAAGCCGCAAACATCATTTTTAAATCCCTGTGTATATCTTTTAAGGCATTTATGTACCTTAGTTTATCATCATTAATAATTAGTCGTCTTTATGTTTGTTAACTTTTATAAATCTTCTAATATAATATTTTAAAACTCTAAATTTATTTATTTATAACTTTTGCATTTCTCGTCAATCATCAGAAATACCTATTTCAATTCACATACTTTGCACAAAGGACAAGGGCCTCGCAAAGATCTTCCGCCCAGAGCCTCGCAATGGATAAGGCCGCCGCTG